TGCTAAACTAAAATATCAATGAATAAAGGTACCAAGCTAAGAGATAGAAAAATAAAATTTTCTTATTAAAAATACTCCAAGTTCGAGGTATCTTATTATATTTAGTGAAGTGCTTTATACCTGATCTCAGGCTTATTAAATTCTTTAAAGTTCTTTAAAAGTCCTATGAAGTCGTTTGTTATTTTCTTGGCTACATTAACTGAACTAAAAACTTGGGAATGTTGTTCATTACAAATTATGTATAAACAAGCTAAGCTGAGAGAACATAGAGAAAAGATTAAGCTCAAAGATGTAAAAAATTCTTCCTTTCATTAATGTATGAATATGTACAAATGGAACAAAATTATAAAAAGAAAAATTAAAAACTCTCATATAACCCCTCTTCAGGTTACTTTTCAGTAGCTAGTGTCTTAAGCTCACTAGCTTAAACCTCCACCTTGGGCCTTTTACCTGTTTTTTCCCACTCGGCCTCAAAAAACAACAATCACAATAGTCTTTATTTCCATGTTATTTTTATCCTGGAGCTCTTTGGCTGTTATTGCTACTTGCTTGGATCGAAAGTTATTGATGTTAACCATTGATAAGTTAAAATCAATATAAAGGTATTTCACCTCATTCAAAGCTAAGTCGAATGAGCTGAACACCTGGTCCCGAGCAAAATCGATATGTATATTGTAGTAGTCATTAGACTCGAGGAAGTTCTTTATAGCTCACTATTTAGCCTCCTTGGCAATGTAAAGCTCGCTCTTTAACCATTCCACTTTAGCTAGTGCCACACTCAACCTCAAGTTAGATTGTTGCTACAAGGATTTCACCATGATTTCTTAGACTGACATGTTCTCAAGCCTCTAGCTCAAGTTATTGACCTTCTTACAAAGCTCATCGTTAGTCTTTCTATACTCCGTGCTTTCTAACTACCTTGTTAAGGGAGTTAATATCTCAAGTATAATTCTTGATATCTTTTTCGATCTTAAAAAAATAATTGAAAGCCTTGTAGCAAAATAACAAGCCATGCCCCATATTTAGGAGATAGAGAATGGGAGCCTATAAAAAACTACACACAAGAAACCTAAGCTTAGAGATGAACAAATTAAGACAAATATGTTAATTTGTAAAGTAAATCAATAAGATGGCCTACGTAATCTTTTTTACCGTCTTGGGGTCTTTATAGGCATTCTTTGAGGAGTCAAATTTATTGTGATAGATATACTCATAAAGGAAGGTTAAAGCTTAACAATTGGCTTGGAGGATAAAGGTGCCATCTTCAGCCTCTTTTATGGCTTTTGAGCTATGGTCTTCGGTTTAACTTTACATCGTAACCAAGCTCTTGCACCAACTGGACTTATTAAGAAGTGGTGGGTCAATTATTTTGATCCCTCTGAAGGGGTCATCAAGTTAAAAAAAAGCTTTGCCCATATCCCTCCCTTAAAAAGATTGTACAAAGTAAGACATGTCAAAACCTCAAACACCCCAACCAACCATGTCTCCAAAAGAAACAAAAAAATTGAATTAAGAGTTGAAACAAAATTGATAAAAACAAGAGTCAGTTATGAAAAGTTAGAAAAATGGTTACCCCAATACTTAATTTCTTTAATAACACTAGAAGAGGTCAGCTCGTAAGCATCCACTAACTTTCCCCTATTGAGAAAGTCATTTATTATGTCCCAAGCACCAAGCTCGTCCATAGTCGGGGACTAATCTTAGCCTCCTTAAATAAGCCCAGGCAATTATTAATCTCTTAAACCCCCCTTAACCTTTTCTATACAAAGGAAAAAAACTTTTCATGTCTTTAATAAGCTCGAACAGTTTACAAAAATTTTCTTAAAGGGTCAAGCTATTACATAAAACTAGCTTTTATCATTAAAATGCTTATCGATGGTAAAAAATTCCTTGAAGATAGGGATAATGAGGAAAATAACTAATTCTCTAAAAAAAATTTAATGAATCCTATTATGTACTTGGGGGGTGAGCTAGTGATAATTTAATTATAAGCTAAAAAAAGTTCAACAATAAAAAAAATGTAAAGGAAATCTAAGATCAACCATAATAGTCCCAGTTTATTGATATCTTATTAAACTCTAATGGGACAATGATCTTATCCTAAGAGGTTGGCATCATTATATTGTACCCCTCATTAGGAAAATCAAATTTGAATTTCACAATAAAAACATGATGAATGGAGCACAGATTAGGGTAATTTTTAGGGTTAGCTTCTTATCATATCCTTAGGGGTTATGCCTAAAGGGTTAGGGGTATAGAAAGGGGCAAGGTTATCATGATCATCATCGGGTCTTTTTGTCTTCTTCTCATCTTCATTCTCTTTCTCAGCCTAGCCAAACCTTTCAGCCTACTCAAAACTCTGAACTTGCTCAGTTTCATAAGCCTTCTCACTAATTTGCTCAACTTCTAAAGAATAAGTAAGCCTTTGAACTAGATAAAAGACTAGGACTTCTACAACATCTAAGAAGGAAAAAGATAAAGTGAAGTTAAAAGACTCGTCAAACTCAGAAAATGAGCTAAAGCTAGATTTTAAAATCAAACTATTGGAAGGCTGGATGGAATGAAGGTTTGGATTGTTTCGTAAGAGAGCTGAGAAAAAAGAAAAAAGGTCAGACAAAAGAGCTGAAGTAACCATGGCTATTGAGACTTTAGGGTTTTAGAGGTCAAAATTTATTATCGCCAAGACCTTATCTATCCCATGATAGATCTTTTCTTTCTAGTTTAGGTGTTGTCTCTAATTTGTTTACCTTCTATAAACATCGAGTTTAACCAATAGGTAGCTTGGTGATAATCTTTTCCTACAATAATAAAGGGGACATCATCATCTGAAAGGAAACTATTTTAGCCAAGTTTACCTCCCTTTATTTCTACCCTAAAATTAGACAAGCTAGGATTAGATGACATAATGAGAAAAGAAAGATGCAATGAATTAGTTTTAAAAAGAGGTCGGACGAAAAAAGGCTAAAAAATTTTGAGATTGATAAGAACTGATCAACTAAAGAGTAAACAAGACTAAGTAGTAAGGAACTAGGGCCTAATAAGGCCTTTATATAGCCAAGTCCCAAATTGGATAAACACTTCCCAATTAAACCATGTCACCATATAGTTACTGATGTTGACTTTTCAACTTCTCAGCCTAAATTCAAAAAATCACCAAAATTCTCTTTCCTCAATAAATGTAGGTTTAAATGAACCTGCATAAGGGTCATGCCGATTCTGCCATGCAAAACCCACTATATAAAATTCACAAGTATCACGTCAACCATGCACATAACATTATGTCAAACATGTTGTTTTTGCCATAGAAGGTCCACAAATGTCACATTACCCATACATGTAATATAATGTCGAATATATTATATATATGCAACAAGCGTCACGTTGGTTATACCATGCGAGGACCACGTCAGCTGCATCATCTCAAACCTAAACAATGACCTTATTTCATCCACATCAGCATAGTATCTAAACTAGCTTAGCAAATTGAGGTTGGGATAATCATAAAAACATGTCATCAATACAATGCCATGAAAAACTCTAAAACAAATCCACACTCAAGTCATGATTTGGTTTTAATGATAATAGATCGACCAATTTTATTTTCGCTAGTTTGACACCTCAGACTACTTGATGAGGGACAGAATGTTGGGGGTGTTTTAAGGTCTAAAAAGTAAAATGGGCTTTTCCTTTCGAAGTATAATTTAGTTATCAAGTGGGTGTAGTTTGGCCATTTTGGCCAAGCTGACGTATCAGGTTGACATGAATTTTTAGACTCCACGTTAGCTCAGCCATCTTAACTGACCACTAGCTAGCACACGGGGACACTAACTTGTCACCCCATGATTGGATCATCAATTCCCAGCATAGTTTGGGCCTACAACATTAGCCCTAGCACCCTTACATCAAGCTCAGGCCACTTAGGCCCAATGTCCCATCACATAGGTACAAGTATCCCTTTTTAGGTATTTCTAAACTAATTGGAACTCTAACTTTCATACTTACCTTGTACTTTTTTCTCTTTCTCACTCTTTGACCAACCACTAATTTGAGCATTAGAACACAAACGACAAAAAAATTTTTTGACTTTTGTCATTGATAAATCTCCTTCTCTTATGCTTTTAGTTTTTTATCCCTCGCAAATAGTTCGACACTAATAGCCTCATTACGGTTTTGATTCAAGCACATTATTAATTATCATTCTTTATTTTTTTATTAGAGTATATCAAGTTTTACTCGAACCTAATTTTCCCTATAAATAATTTTAAAGGTGCATTCTTTTATATCTATTTAATGTATTAAGAATTTTATTTTTAAAGCATTTTTCACAAAAATTAAATTTTGATTTATAAAAAATTAGAGTATTTTTCAAAACACAAAAAATCTTGATTGACAAGAAAATGGAATTTCTCTACTTACGTAAGTGGGTTATTACTTGTAATTCTTATGGGCAACTTAACTAACCCTTTTGGGTTATAAATTGTAATTTTTTAAAAAATGATAAAAAAAAATTTCCAATCTTACATATTGAGTAAGAAGATTATGTATCAATTATTAAATCAAATATTTATATATTGATTTTGAAAAAGCTTAAGATTTGAATCAAATGGAAACGTTTATTTTGAAAAAGCTAAATATTGTAGCTTTAGTAAAAACCTCAATTTAGCTTCTCTTATAAGTAAAAAAAATTAATAAATAAATGCTATATAACTTCAACCTATTTGTCTTAAAAACAAAGAACACAAAACGAAGATGCCCCTCTACACTTGACAACAATTTATATACCTCTCAACAATTTAAATGCTTGATTGATGACTATTCAAATTTTTTACTCTAATTTGTGTAGTAGTATTAAATAAATTAATATTTGAGCAAATGAAAAAGTCAACAAATGGTTCACACACATGAATGACCAACCCATCCATCACTTTCTTTTTCAATTTGCTGTACAACAGATATACATTAGCTGATATATCTCAATCCAATTCCACTGTAATATCAATTTCTCCCCCTTTTCTCTCTCTCTCGGAACAACCTTTTTATCATACAAAATAAATAAACTCACGAGTACGCGATTCACTATTTTTGCAAAACCTTTCACAAATTTTTTTATAAAGGGCCATCCACAAATTTAAAGAAATACAGCACAAAAAAAAATTAGAAATTGTGTAGCAAGAAGTCCATGTACAAAACAAAAACATTAAAACAAACAAATCCCAGAAATCTCAACCCGAGTTTTGGCGTAAATCCAATCTTTTCTACACTCCACTTTCAGACCTTCAGTGTAAACAAGCAGCAATTAGAAACCCCCACGAAATCATTATACGAATTGAGTGTCCCCTTCTCTCCATCTTCCGTTCAAGTGACCGGCAAAAAGGAATTTCACTCAGAAAAGAAAAATCCCATTTCTACCAACACTTTGACATATACGTAGCCTTGGCCTGTATCAATTTTCATGCAATAGTATATATCCGCATAGAGGATATATATATATCTTTTTAATTTTTGTATTTAATTTTTTTTCCTTGCAGTTTTGTTTAATTTTTTAGGGGAAAAAACAGAAATTGAATTGATGCTAGCTGTGGCACCTCTGAGGAACACTACTAAAGATGAGCAGAAAGGAGAGATGCAGTGTTTCACTATTAGCTCGGAAGAGTTCCCTGACTTCGCTGATGAGAATTTACTTGAGAGTATTGATTTTGATGATCTTTTTGATAGCATCGATGAAGGTGATCTGTTACCGGATTTGGAGATGGACACCGAAATCTTCGCAGCACTACCCTCCGGTGGAGGTGATGAGGAATCAGAGATGAACACATCAGTAGGCAAAACTGATGAGGATAGTACTCAAAGGAAAGAGGAAGAAGAAGAAAAGGTTTCGGGTTCAGGTTCAGGGTTAGGTTCGAGTTCAACCAAAGGCGAGGAGATTGTTAACAAAGGAGAGGAACCTACAGCAGTTAATAAAACACCTTCCAAAGAAGCTGATAAGGGAAGAAAATCATCAGCACAAGCAAAGAATAACAATCAAGGGAAGCGAAAAGTGAAGGTAATTACCGTAAGTACTAGAACTGGATACTAGATTAATTAGGTTTTCGTTGTTGCTAAGGCTTTTTTAACATCAATGGCAGCCGTCTCTCTCTCTCAATTATGGGCCATTCATAGACTTCAAGGAAGCACTAAAATATCACGAGAATAATGGGAGTATGTGATTATCTCCACAAGAGAGAGAGGGAGAGGCCCTTTAAAAAGCTAAAAAGTTTGTTTACCTTTTTCATTTGTTTACCTGAGATCTAGATAGGATAAGTGTTTGAGTTCTTGTTGTTGTTTTTTTTTTCTTTCATTCTTTTTAATCTCTTGAACGTGTGAAGGTGGATTGGACGCCAGAGCTGCACAGGAGGTTCGTGCAAGCAGTAGAGCTACTCGGGGTGGATAAGGCGGTGCCTTCAAGAATTTTAGAGCTTATGGGAATTGATTGTCTTACTCGCCATAACATTGCCAGCCATCTTCAAGTACTTAACCATTAATCCACTTTTAATATTCCTTCTTTCCCATACTTCTTCATCCCTTTAGTAGTATCTATACATACTTAATTACATTTGCAGACTGTAGAAGCTGCCATATTAATTTATTTCGCTCGTTTTTATTTTTTAATAAATATCGTTGTTCCAAAGGATTTTTCTTGATGAGATAGAACAATAGTCTAAAGTAATTTCATCAAGAACAATAGTCTAAAGTAATTTCATCAAGAAAAAAAAAAACTATTATAGTTTTTTTCTTTCCTTTCGACGTAGTTCGAATTATTGTTAAGTGTTTATTTTTCTCAGAATCTGTTTTCATATATGCATTTCGTTGATTAAAAATATAAGAAAAAAATATAGTATTATGCAATACTAATTGGATGGATTAATTATCCAATTTAAAACTTTTAGAAGACGAAGCATGTTTATAGACTTACGTTGTAAAAGAACAAAATTTTCGCTATATAAGCAGATATTATAAGAAATTAAGATCCATTATTATCTAAATGTAGACTAAAATCTCAGTTTTTCATAACTTAAACATGAACTTCCAAATTGAATCATATATTTTCATGGTAAATAATTTTTAGATATAGGGAGGGAGAGTGGGTTGAAGATGAATAATTATGTTTTGTTCTGCAGAAATATAGATCTCATTGGAAGCATTTGCTAGCTCGTGAAGCGGAGGCGGCAACCTGGACCCACAGGAGGCAAATGTACGGTTCTTCCACCTCAGCAGGTGGAGGCATGAGAGATATGAATCCTTGGCTTGCACCCACTATGGGTTTTCCTCCTATGTCACCCATGCATCACCACTTTAGACCTATGCATGTATGGGGTCATCCCACCATGGATCAATCCCTCATGCACATATGGCCTAAGCATTTAGCCCACACACCATCCCCGCCGCCGCCACCACAGTCTACGTGGAGACTTCCACTTCCTCCTCTACCAGCAGACCCTTCGTATTGGCAGCACCACCAACGTGTAAGCTCTTGCCACCATTTCCCCCTTGCACCTAATTAAAATAAAATTATTATTACTACTACTATAAAATATACATTACCAATTTGCAAAGAGTATGTTATTTAAAAGTTTTATGAGGTTCTTTCTTTATATCTATCCTGCTAAAAGTGGGAGTTTTTTTTTTTCTCTTCTCTTATTGAATAGGTACCAAATGGACTAACCCCAGGAACACCTTGCTTTCCACAGCCACTGGCACCAACGGTAAACAATCACTCCTTTCTGTTTTGGAGGCTTCTTACCTGTTTGTATCTTGACTGTGAGATTCATATAAAAGAGACTTGATAGATAGCATAATGTATTGGCATCTGAAATTATAGTACGATGAAGCTTTTTAGGCTTAGGCTTAGTATTACTGTTACGGTTGGAAAAAGGTCAATTTGGAAAAAGTGTATTTAAAAGGTATTATAAAAATTATTTTAAAAAATTATGGTTTAAGATTTTTTATTGTAAAAATTTGCTGTAAATATTTAAAATGTTTAAACAAAACACGATGTTGGAAAAAAAAAAGTTATTTTTGTCAAAAATAAATAATAGAACAGGTATTTGGTAATTTTATTTTCAAATCATAAATTTTAAACAGCAATTACATCTCCCGATTAACTTTTACAGTTTGGTTCATTTTTAGCAGTCAAACAAATACTTTTAACTCAAACTATAGTATATTTAACATTGTTTTTACATAAAACTGCTTTTTGAAACTCAAAACGCAATACTAAACGGGCCTCAGTGAACTTACTGTTTTCCATGCAGAGATTTGCTGCAACACTGGTCCCAGGCATTTCTCCCCACCATGCCATGTACAAAGCAGACCCTGGCATTGGAGTCCCGGCCGGACAATCAGTTCCCCACCCTCTCATTGACATCCATCCGGTTAGTAACTTTCTCTTTGCTTTCAACAACATCTTTAATGGTAGCATTACATTCATTAAGCACATATTATGTACTAGTACTAATTACAAAACATCTTACTCTATGAGATAGCAATTATTTTTTTAATGATCATTTTTGTAATTATTAATTAGTTCAACAAACATAAAGCAAAACATGCTTTTTCTTAATTCATATTATATATAAGTTCAAATATTTTATTTAAGTTTTGAGAAAATATACCATAACCTGGCAATAATTTTTTCTTATAAAAAAGGGGTTAAAAATATATAAATGGACTTGATAATTATGAGTGACGGTAATATGATAAATTTGTTATATGAAAATAAATATGTATGTCATATTATTTATTGAGTTAATGTCATAAATAGGTCTTAAATTATAATGAAATATTTAATATAGTACCTAAATTTTAAAATATCTAACGTGTTACCTAAATTACGAATATGCTAATTAATGTAGTACTTAGAGAATTATTTGTCCGTTACATATTATCATTTGAAGCTAGTTACGTTATAGATGAATATCATATTAGTTAACATATTTATAATTAAAGTATCATACAAGAAATTTTTAAAATTTAAATACCACATTGAATATTTTAGTGTAATTTAAGAATTATTCATAACATTAACCCTTGTTTCTTTATGGTTAAATTTTTTTATATGATATATAGATTTATCTTAATTTGAGCTTCTTTATATAATGTTTGCCAAAATTCTTAATCGTGTGATGATGTTTTATAATAATTAATTAATGTGTTGTGAAACAGTCAAAAGAGAGCATAGATGCAGCTATAGAAGACGTTTTATCAAAACCATGGCTGCCACTTCCTCTTGGACTGAAGCCGCCATCTACCGATGGCGTTTTGGGAGAGCTGCAACGTCAAGGAGTGCCCAAGATACCACCCTCTTGTGCTTGATCGATACCCTTTAGATCGATATATACAACAGCTAGAGTGGCCTTGTCAACTGATGATTTTCGAGACTACTGCGGAGAACCCTTAATTCGATGACATTACCCAACGTTAGAACGTTCATGTGGAGATCTAATCTTTTTCCCTTTCTTTTATTTTCTTGTTTTTTCCACTAAATTTGTAGAATCATTTGCTTGTTCTTGTTCCCTTGCGAGGACAACTTTATTTATTAAGCATGCTGATCCATGTCTTTTAATAAAGCCAAAATTTGGAATGGTTTTGTGAATGAGATTCTAATAATTATCTTATCATCAGTCATCATCAAGGGAAATAGAGAAACCTAACATTCCGATGCTTAGAACTTAACCGTTGCATGGTTCTTCATAAACCGTAGAAATTAAGCCTAATATTTTCTAGCCATTAATTGTTGCGTGGTTTTCCTTCTAGTAAATGTTTTTCCATTCAAGTGGAAAGAAACAATTCCTAAGAAAATAGTTCAAATTTAATATCTTTAACTAAAAAAAATAGAATCAAGATTTAATTTAATTAATTTATATAACCACTTTTAGCAGATTTAAAATTTAAATATCAACACATTCATCACCTAAAATCATTGCAGGTTTTTCATGGACAGTAAAAATTAAGCATATTGATATATAGCCATTAAAGATTGGGTGGTTTTCCACTTTTTCATTTCCTTCTAGTAACTGCTTTTGGATTCAAGTGGAAAGAAACACTTCTTAAGAAATAGTTCAAATTTAATATCTTTGATCACCAAAAAAATTTAAGTGAGATTGTTTAAGCAAATCCGCAAGGGATTTTATTAAAAATAATTAAATAAAAAATTAAATTTCAAATTGATTGGATTGAAAGCTTTTGTTAAATAGCTAATAAAATATACAAATAATTTGAATTTGTTATACTTCGATTACCCAATCAGCACCTTAACTCTCAAGTAAGTCAAGTCAGCACCCATTAACCGATTGCAGCACATCTCAATTGGTCCAACAATACTTAACTAAAATTAAATATGCTAATTGCTCACGTTAGCACGTGCCGATTACTAGTACTAATCCCCTTTTTAAAAGGTAAGGTCAGGTAAAAATGATAATGATTCAGATCAACATTAATTTGGTTTATTTTTTTAAAATAATATATAATATTATAATTTTTTTAAAATTTTATTAGTATCTAGATGGAATTTTCTCGAAAGAGATCCAACTTTAACTTAATTTTATTAGTTTAATTTGGTTCATCATTTTTTATATTTAATTTTTTGTTTTTATATATTATTTTTATATGATTTTTAATATATTTAAATATAAAATAAATTTTTTTATTTTATAAAAATTATAAAAATATATAATTTAATTCGATTTTTTTAACTTTTTATTTTTTTATTTAAAATTTGATTCGAACCTAATATGTATATTAATATATAAAATTAATTTGAATCAAATAAAAAAAATCAAATGAATAAAAATAAACACTATAATTTTTAATTAATTTTTAATTTTCTTGATTTTTTCGCTCCTTCAAAGTCGGAATACAAATACCTTGTTCTAAATCTTCACTCACCCTATCTACTCTTACCTACTTCCCCACATTCTCCTAACCTTTCCTATCGTCTTTCGCTTACTGTACTGTACTGACTCGAGTGTCCGAATCAGTCCCAGAGTCTTACCTCTTATTCCCCTTAATAGGTCCCTCTCTTGCAAGTCACTCCAGCTTCCAAATCAACTACCAGACTAGCTTCTAACCAAGCATCCAATCCCCGTACCCAAAATATCATCAACATTGTTTTATATTTTATTTAAATAAACATTTTTATTAAAATTTTTTTTATAAAATTATTGCCATTCAATCAACTTTGTGTGAAGATACTATTTTTAATTTTTTTTTAAATTTATTGATTTTCTATTGAACTATATAAATTTATTGATATTAAATTTCAAATTTAATTTTTATTCAATTGACTTAATTAAGAACATCGTGAAACCTAAAATAATCTTACCTTATACATGATATTATTAGGAGCATTCTAAACTTCTAAACAATATATGTAACACCAACTTATGACTATCTTGACTATAATCTAGTGGGTTGAAAAAGAGAAATTTGCTGCACAAGCACATGCAAGGTCAGTTGATAAAGAGAGATCTACTACATAAGCACATGGATCTATCTATATTAGTCATGGCTGGTGGTCTTTTTTGAAAGGATACTTGATTAGTCTACATGCCATCAACTCTCTTGGAAGTGAAGCTCTACCTAAAACCTCAAGAGAAAATTAAATACTATGACTAAATAGACCACATCAACAAGCTTGGCTTGAGTTTTATTTATATGTCTATCTATATCTCTCTCTATATAAAAGTTTTGATAAGGAACCCACTTACATTAATATAACTCTTATATTTTTTTGGATTTTTGGATTCAAATTACTAAATTTAAAAATACAATTTTAAATTCAAATGAATCATGGGTTAATTTTGATCCAAGAATTAAAAAAAATATATAAAAGTTATGCTAATGTAAATGAATCAGCACTCATAAGTTTTTTGGGGTTTTTTTTCTGTTGAACTGTAATTTTGTTAGTTGGCTATAGATTTTCAAGGGACTTTTTTTTATTTAGCAAAAAAACTTTTTTATTTTTTATGTTAGAAAAATATTCGAAATTAAGGGATACATTGATCATTTGAACAAATTCTCAAGGTGCCTCTCAAGAAACTAGTTCTTAGGCATTAATCTTTTCAAGATTAGAGTTTAAATTAAGCTTATAACTTGTTGTACAAAAGGGCAGATTTTTCCTGGATTTTGGTATTGAGTATATTAATTAAGATACTTATAAATGTATTATATATTAAATTAAATTCTTTTTCTTTTGCTTTAGAGGTATAATAAATGCATTTTCGGATAGAGAATACATCTATTTTCTTTGCCTCTCTATTTATTTATCTATCATATATTTATACACATCTGCATAGATACATATCTAGGTAAATATACACACACCCGTATGATTTGATGCATTAATTATGAAACAACATAAAATTAATTTATAAATTTGATGCATTTGGTGATTATTTTTACTTATGTACCATGATTTTTTTATATGATTAATTAAGTTTTTTTTATTTTACGCAACCAAATTAACAAGACTAAATATTAGTGGACAAGACAATTATTTAATCATTATAATTATTTATTTTAATTAGCAATTTTCATTTAAATAAATTATTCAATATATTTGATGAAAATTCTTTGATTAAGATTCAAATATAACAATCCTTTACTTTTTTGAGGAAGCAATTTTATTGATTATTTTTTTGGGTATATAAAAAATAATAACAGACAAAAAATTATAAATATTGAAATTTAAATTCTAAATATATTAAATTTTATATTTTAAGAATAATTATATGAATTTTTTAAATTAAATTTCTAATCCAAATTTAACTAATTATTGGTTGTTACAAATGATCATATAACTATATCTTACATTTAAAATGGAGATTAAAGGAAAAAACTCATCCCAACTCAAAATGGAGATGTTAATTTAATCTATCAAAAAAGAATAATCTAAAAAATAATAAAAAGCATTGTAACATATTGCAGTTGTGTCAAACTACAGACAGAAGATTCGAGAAAAGAAAACTAGAGACAAAAGTCGTGACTAATCTCTGGCAGGCATTTATTGGACCACCTATAACTATTGTCCATTAGGGCGTCTTATTGGGTACTGATGGGCCAACCTTTATGATCGCTGTCGTTGTTTCTGGCACGAATATCTTTTCCTTTTCTATTCACTAATTTTTGATGGGGGGCAACGGAAAGGCAAAGCTGAAACTGAAAGAGTGAAAATCAAGTGAGAATTAGTTATAGCCACATGATTACGCGAGAAAAGTTAAGGGGCCCACTGATGCGTGGAAGTACCGAAAAATCCAACGTGTGAGGCCATCGAAGTTGACGTGGCAGACCGTTTGATATTGACTCTGTCATCTGACCTGCAATTATTTATTTATCCTTTGACAGTAACGGGAGAAAATCTACATTGAAGAATAATAATCCCCTAAAGAAAATTACGGAAATGATCTACCCATTATTTAAATAGGTAAGGGAAGTTTTCAGGTGAATAATGCATTTTCATATAAACCTATGATTAATATTTATTTAAATATTTTCTTTTTTAATTAATTTTTATTTATTTATAAATTTAATTTAAAATTATTAAAAATCAATCATGAATCTAATTGAAGATACAATATTCATCATGGGATAAAATAATAAAATCTTTTACTATTTTTTAAGTAACAACGAGGATTTTCTCTCAAAAAAAATTACAATTGTACAAAAGTATATTCTATAAATTTAATTGGTCCCAAATAATTAAGCCCCGGCTAATATAGTAATCAACAATTTTCAATTTAGTATTTTCAATTTTGTTGTCTCTTCTCATTTCTTCTATAAAATTGTAATATTTTCAACAAAAAAAGTTGTAATAAACGAATAGCTCAACGTGATTATTCATTACTTAATATATTATTACTTGAGAAATTATTAAATATATTGATAATAGATTTTTAACTCCACAAAATGACACATACCTTTTAGTGTATATATTTTTAAAAAATTAATTTAAAAAATGAGATGAGTCACTTTTTAATCACACTTGTAGAGTTAAAAAAATTTCATTAACAATATATCAAATAATTTTTTTTATGTTTTACTAGGAAGGATAAACTTACACTAATATAAAATTTTTTAATTTTAAATTTTTTTAACTATTAATTTCAATGAATTCAAAGGATGGGAGACAACAGAAAAAAATAATTTAATCTCATCTTTTGAATTTATTAAAATAAATGACTAAAAAAAATTATAAAATTAAAAAATTTTACACTCGTGTAAATGAATCATCCTCTTATTTTATATATTAACAATTAAATTTAAATTTTTTTTCAATGAATTAGATGTATGATATATGCTAATTTAATAATTTTCATAAATATAACATAATAGAACATGTATCAACTTTCCAATATTATTTATTGAATTTAAAAACTTTATAGTAAATATATAGGGTAATTTTCATTTTTTTATTTATGAACTAGAAAAATAGGAACCAATCATCTCTGTCAATCTTACCATCTGTTCCAGAACTTTATAGCTAAAACGTCTAAATCGTTTCCTTTAACGAAGAAAATTGTTGGAATGTAACCATTTTTTTTTTTTTTTTTGCTTTGTCCCTAATTAACGAGTAACTTGTATTAAAAATTTTCTAAATATGGTTTT